GCAACTTCGCTGTGGATGGAAGTCTATTTTTAGAATTCCTGGTTTTCTCTTGGCGGCACCCAAATGATGTGTGATTTTTTTGTTGATCCAAAATATCGTACTTGATCACGATAAACAAAGAACATTTTAATTTTTACAAAATTATTGCTAAGACTGTAAAGAGTAGCGTTGTTTGTGTGAAGCGTAAAAGTAAGTATTGTACAAGTATGATAAATTGTAAATATAAATAACACCATTACTTATTATATACGTACAACAATAGGGCAACAGAATAATAAACAAGAAGGATACTGAAGATATGCTTGGAGATACTTTTTCGTACGTTAATGGTAAAACTTATATTATTATGATTGATAATAACACAAAAATGAGAATCTCAAGTTTGAACGCGGACATTGCAAGAGTTTATTTCGTTAATAATAACAAAGTCCAGATTCCAGTGCCAAATGGGATGATTATGCATGATGATGTTAATAATTATAATTTATGCCATTTTCGAGGTGAATACCATATTTCCTGGATATATAGTTATACATTATTTTGGAATAATAATGTAGTTGTCCGTCTTTACAATCAAAGGCAACAAACAATTGATAGAGGTGTTGGGTTCGAAGAGTATGAGGTGGAGTAATTATATTTTATAATGGATGAGATTTGACCGGCAATATATTTTACGACATTGTCAAACGTTTATGAATAAATAAACATATATGAATAAATAAGATAAATAGATATTTATGAATAAATAGATATTTATGAATAAATAAATATTTATGAATAAATGATAATACAAAAGTTAATAAAGAGTATACCGAAGCATGATCAATGTTTAATGTTTCAATGCTTTTGTTTAAAATGTTAATTTTTGATTCATGAATCAAATTTAAATTTTTTCAATAGCTTGAACGCATTTTTTCACTTATACCATTAAATATTATAAGAAATGCAATGTAAGAATACCTTTAACAATAGCCTATATATTTTGTTGCTCTATCAATTTATTTAATTTGTTTGACATTTTAATAATATAACACGACATAATTTCATCAAAATTAATCTATTTTTATTACTTTTATTATTTGTTATTATTTTTGTTACCGTTATTTTAACCCTTGACACAAAAAATTTAAATAATTCTGTATATATCTTTACTCACTATCACCCTCAAATAAATAGAGTCCATGATCTCTATAATTTCTTCGAAAGTTATTCTAACCAATGTACCACCACTAATTAATTCCTTAAAATCTCATTATCTTCATCATAAAGTGAATTATGAAATTTTAAAACACTTTCATTAATAATTTGCTTAATACAATTTTCATTAGCAGTAGTAAATAAAGTCCCAGGATAAACTTTACTACCCCATTTTGGGTGTAGTAAAATATGACAACACCCAGCATTATAAATATCATATTTTAAAAGTTGTTCGGCACCTTGAACGTCTGGATAGGTCGATGGACCAGGATCGGAAAACATCTGATTTATTAAATTAATAATTTAGTTAGAAAAATCATAGAAAAATCAAAGATTCACTCCACGCCAATTCTTGAGAGTAAAATAAATTACGTATGTATGATCTTTATGGTACTTACTGGATATCCTGAAGCAGGATCAGTGAGATCAGACCAATACCCAAGATCCCTTAATTTTTGACAAATTTCCTTACCCCATTCAATAAACTAAAAAATAAATCCAAAGTTTTAATTATTAAAATCTATAAAATGTGCATTTGTAACTGATATTTAAATATTTACATCTTCCAATTTTTCATCTTTTTCTTTATCGATTCTTTCACCCATTCCAACTAAATCATTTCGACATTTCAAGAAGACTGGTATTACGAGACACTTATCAGGTTCAACGATTTGTGGAAATACATTTATCAATTCTCTATTAAATTTATTTGATCCAGCATGAATAGAATATTCGAGAAAAATTGGA